CCAAGAATATTCATAAAGCGCGCGGACTCACGGCGCGAGCGCGGCCGCACAAAAGACGGAAACCAAGCTCCCCGGGCTTTTCCTGCTGCCTGAAAGACTGACGTTGCATTTGGCCGAGTGCATATCTAGCGCAATCGAATTCCCGTGGCCGTCGCCGTCGGATTCGCCTATTGTCGAACCTCCCCCACGCCACAGCGCTCATACGACGAAGAGAGAGAGAGAGAGAGAGAGAGAGAGAGAGAGAGAGATCAGCTGAAGAGAGGATCGTTAGGGGTTCAATCTGCGAACCCTTCGAGCTGACCGCCGAATAGCTGCACGCGCGTCCTCGCATTTACATGGAAATCTCGAAGCGAGGCTGGCTCCTCTCCGGTCGATTACATTCCGCGCATTATGACGTTTCGTCGTTCGTCCTGACCTCTCTTAAGAATCCAAGGAATCTTATCCACTGCTCTCTGTTTCCCCCGACGATCCGGAAGAGCTTGCCGGGTATCTCGCGAGATCTCTGCCTCTCTTTCGTCCGGGCTTCACGTTGTCTCCGGATCTGTTGCGAGAATTTTCTCGAGAATTTTGGCCTTTCATCGAGTCCTTTCTTCTTTTTCCTTATTTATACGTTGAATCGTTTCCGATTCTTCGGATTGGACAGGCGCGCGTGCGTTGCTCAGTGATTGAAAAGAGAAGAGTCCCCTGAATTCCCTCCTTTTTCTCTCTTTTCATTTTTATCTTACTTTAATTGTTTCCGATTCTTTAAATTGGACGTGCGCGCGCGCGCGTTGCTCAATGGTTGATAAGAGGAGATTTCTTAGAGTTTTTCTTCGTTTATTTCTATCTTAATTTAATTGTTTCTTATTCTTCGGATTGGACGCGTTGTCTGGTAGTTGAAGAGAGAGTATAGAAGAAAGAGTAAATAACTGGCATGATCATGGTCCGATCACTGTGACTGCGAGTCTTAATTACGTTGAGTGCTGTAATTCGTCGTTGCTCCGTTTATGCGAGTGAAATCTTAGGTGAAATTCATTTCTGTCGGCTGAATCTACTTACTTGAACGTGAGCGGCTGACGAATGTATTCGAAATTTTAGAATTTAGTAATCGTAAATTTTGAACTAACTAATCGTAAATAAAACTAACATATATATATATAAATTTCAAGATATTTATTGTAAATATACAAGCAATTAATAAAAAAAAAAAATTAGAATAATTATCTCAAGCGTATTATAATTGTCAAAGATGACCCCTGATCGTAGCTGTTTATATGTAATATAATATAATATTTTTATCACTTGCAATGTATTACAATTTTCATATATATATATTTAGATCTGTTTCATACTCGATCAATACAATCATAACGTAACGTTATTCGAATACTTTCGCGAGCAACTGTATGCGAACGAAAAAAATCACAAATAATCGGAAGAAATCGGTGAACTCGAATTACATGTACTTGTAAATTAGTTTATGCGTACAAATGAATTATCCAAAGGGAAGGGCAAGGAAGAGGAAAAAGTCACACTCTCGTAGACGTGGCGTTTACGTTAGATTCCAGTATCTCGAGGTAATCGAAAGAAGAGCAACCGTCGACATTGTTCCGCGGCGAAGTATCGTCGGGATTGTCCCATAAAACCCCTCGGCTAAGCCGAATTTCCGTGGAAAACCTCGTACAGAGCGACAAACCCTCTCTCTACCCTCCAAAGGATCTCGCGAAAAAAAGAGAAAAAGGACAGCGAAACGACGCGCGACCATTTTTCGAAAAGCGGCCTGGCGAAAAACCAGGACGCGATTACAACGAATGCATAACGTCAGCAAGCGACACGTAGGGGAATCAAAAAAAGGAAAGAGGAAGAATAAAACTGGAGAGAGAAAGAGGACAGAGGCAGAGATAGAGAGAGAGATAGAGAGAGAGAGAATCGTCTCGCAGCAGCAGCTAGCAGACTGCAATGGGTGTGCAATCGCTGTTGGAACTGAATACCGAGCCTTTGCACGCGCGAGAAAGGAAAATCAGCAGAATGGGATTCGCGCGTGTATGCGTGCGGGCGAGACTCTGATAGAAAGAAAGAGAAGAGAGAGAGAGATAGAGAGAGAGAGAGAGAGAGGCAGGCGTTGCGGATGGTTTTGGAACGCGTGAAAAGGCGAAAGATGGCGCGGAACACAGGGGGTGAGCGTGAATGGTGGCGCGATCGAGTGAAATTTCACGTGTTAACGTTTGCAACGCGGCCGATATCAACGTGCGCGAAAAAGAAACGCGTTTCAATGGGCGGGAGGGGATTCGGTGCGTCGCGAAGCTCTCGCGAGTCCCGGCGTTAACGAGTTTTCAACTTAGTTCTTTATTTCTCCCGGTCGAGTTATCCGCGCCTCGAATCGAGAATCGAGCTCTTGGTTAAGAGACAGCCGAGTTTGTTCGACCGGTGGCTGATGAGGTAAAAGAACGGAGGACAATGGGGATTTTTCCTCGGAGAAATGCTCGCGAAGTACACGCGTGCTGTTGTAACAGGAAGGGAACGTCTTCATGGAAATTTTTGATTACGGGGAAAAGAGGAAAGAGGTAGAATACACGGAAGGAAGAAATTCGTTACAGGGATTTGAATAAAATGATGGATAACGAACAGACATGTATACGATGGAACGAGTAACGTAGTCTGTTGTGATTCATTTGTAATGTAATAACGCGACATACGTTCTTGATGTTCGATATAATTTGATTTACATTTAACGTATAATTTTAATAACATGCTGATCCAGGATGAACGTTACATTATTAAAATACAGATGGTATTCGAACGTTTAGTTTCCGTATTCAATGGAAATTATTATTATACGTATTATGTATATTTATTCTTCAAAACACACTCGGAGAAGCGCAAATGTGTAAAAGTTAAACAGCGTTATAACGTTATAAATATTTCTCACTCGCTCGTGACAAAAGTATTCGTCGATTCAATCGATTACTCCTTTATCGCGCCGACGTAAGGAAAACCATTTTTCAACGGCCGAGAGGATCGTTTAATTTCCGTCTAGGTGATTCGTTTGAAAACAGGTCGAATGCCCGCGTTGAATTTCGATACCACCTTGACGATGTTTCATTTCTTTCGTTTTTCTTTCATTTATATAACCAATTAGAAAGCGCTTCGTGGGCTTTTTCAGTGGGCCGATGCCGTTTCATTTTTCGGCTCTTTCATTTTACAATCCGCCTCGTGTGTAAGCGCGTTACGAGTCGTTAACGCACAAAGCCCACTCGATCTTGCATTGATCGTTTTCAATTTACGAGAATGCCCGCTGCCTTTCCCCATTGTCCGGGGAATCGCGAAATTTTTCGGTAGAATGGCGTTTATTCCATTCTCCCAAGGAGGATATAGTTCCAACGCGTTTCTTTTTAATATTCAATCGAGCAAACGCCACGATGTATTGGCCTCTATTTCCTGGTTAAAAGGCATCGTTTTTCTCCTTCCCTTCGCACAATGAAATCCTGTTCGCGTGAGAAAGATTACAGAAGGCTAATTAATTAGTTCGCCGTTGCCCACGATATAAACGACGGGATAAACGACGTTAACTGCAAACGCGTGTCAAAGAGCCAGTTGTTTCTTTCGCCAGATGTTAAATTGATAAAGTTAATTAATTAGACAAAGAGGTGGGAAAAAAATTCGACATTGTTGGGGTAATTATGTATTGTCGTGTCAAGCGAGAATGAATTCCCAATGGCGTTACGACGACGTTGGTCAATGAGTATCAGTGTCTCCTCTACTTTTGAATCTAATTTCTCGAAAAAAAAATTTTCTTTTACTGTTCCTGTGAATTTTTCTCGACAGCTGAATGCTCGTTTAACTCGTTCAAATTTCGGTTTGGCAGAACATTCTGTCATTTAATATTCGACGAAACGTCAAGAACAATACGACGAATCGAACGTGGCCGAATTGAACTTTAATCGAGTTAAATCGAATTCTAATTCATTTCACATTAACGATCTTCTGTGCGTATTTTCTACGCGCTGAATTTGATATTCAGCGTTATTAAATTTCTGATTTAATTACTCGAAAATTTAATTTTCCAACTCATATTCAGAATTGGAAGAATTAAGAAACATCGTAGGAAATTAATATTTTAATTATCGACTTTGTTTCGAGATTTAAAAATTAAAATTAATGACTGTCGCGTGACGTCGCTGCAGTGTCACATAAAGCTATTTCTGAAAGCAGTTATTCATAGCGTTGATACACTTACAAATCTCCAAATCTTTCTTATTTATTTTATTCGAACGTCCAACAAAATTCGAAATTGTTTCACAACGCTCTTCTAAATTTTTAAATCTTCAAAGCGAATTGACTTTTATTTAATTTTCATTCAAACATCTAACAAAATTTGAATTTTCTTTTAAATCGTTAACACAGCTTTAGCAACAAGCTGGATTATCAACATTTCCTTAGTAAGCTTAATATTTTAAATCATTGATACATCTTTAGCATTAATGTAGCTTAAAGTAATAATGTAGCTTTAGCCATCCATTTCACTCGAACCTCGAAATTACGAATTTACTTGATTTACTTTACTCAAACATCCGACAAAATCCAAACTTTCTTTTGAATCATTAATATAGCTTTAGCAGTGAATGTTTTAAATCATTAACATTTTCTAAGCAAGCTTAATATTTCATGTTGTCGTTAATATTGCTTAAAGCAATAACGTAAGTATTTCATTTCACTCGAAAGTCCGATAGAACAATCGTCATTCTAACAATTCCTGCGTCGCGGGTTGCAACGCGAGTTACATCGGAACGCAACTGGAACGTCCTCATCTCGATCCGAACGTCACAGCGTTAACCATTTAATCGCACGGCGTGCTGATCCGGCGTGGTTGACGCAATACTCGTCACGTGGGCCGCGTCAATTGAATTCCATAAAAGCCAGTTGCGTTCGTCGGCTAACTCGTCGCCCGGCGACGCAGTTTCTCTCGTCCCGTCTTTGTACACACTTTGTCGTCTAAGCCACGCGATTTTCTCTGTTCAAAGGTGGTGACGACCTCGAGCGAGCGAGCGAGCGACGCTGAAGCTCGCGGAACAAGGGGCGAAGGAGAGTCGCCGAGCGAACTCGCTGGAGAAAACACGAGAAACGAAGAGTACCAGCCGTGGTACGCGTGGACGGTGAACGGAGAGCGAGAGGAAGCGTGGAGGAGAGAAGAGGAAGACAAGGGGTGGCGGCAATCGACAGATGAGAGTTTGAGTCGCAGAGAGTGGTTTCGAGTGGAGGCTGGCGCGAGTTAGCTCGACTCGAGGAAGGGTGGTGGAGGAGCGTCGAAAGCACGGAGCCAACTAGAAGAGGGAGCCTCGCTTGGGGGGGAAAAAAAAGAGGGAAAGAAAAGGAAGGAGGGTGGCCCGTGGCTCTCCTCGCGCGCGAAGGGAGAGACGACGTGTTGGAGTAGAGAAGGATAGTAAGGACAACTTCCGTGTGCTTCGTTGAAGAAACAGAAAAAGAGAGAAAGAAAGAGAGAGAGAGAGAGAGAGAGAGAGAGAGAGAGAGAGAGAGAGAGAGAGTGAGTGGAGTGGGGAGGGAAGAGGTGGAGGAGAAGCGGTGTGTCGTTGACGTGACTACGAGTGACGTGACGTGACGTGACATCGAGGCGTCGAGATGCTCCTGGATGAGATGGCCGCCTCCGTTCACACGTTGCTGTCACTTCTTCTCGTGCTCGGTGCTTGCACGCTGTGCCGCGGCAGGATCACGAATCAGGAGATAGGTGAGTGGACAAATATCTCCAGCTTTCCTTGCTTCTTACTTCTACGCTCGTCCCGTACTTACACTGGTTTCGCGCGAATATTTTTCCGGGGTAGGGAAGTTCTTTTCTTCCTTTTTTTCTTTTTTTTTGAACGACGTGTCGTCACTATATTTACGAAGAAAATGTTTTACACTCCCCCGCGAAATTGTGTTTTCGTGTTTTGACGAGAGGACGTTGAGAACGATCACGATTCGGGGAAATTAAGAGCGCGTTGATATTGGATTAGTCGCATCGCGAGGTACGCTTGAAGCCCGGTTTTCGGCGTTCCTCGTGCCGCTTCTACGTGAAACGTGTACCGCGGCACATTCCTGATATCCTGTTTACACAGGATGCTTCTAATTAAAAACGCTGTAACGCACGCTTTTATACTTTCGCTTTGAACGACCACGTTTGGGTTTGACGTTGGGACATCCTCAATTACGTCAGGGAAATGTAATATTTGCAGGTGAATTAAGATAAACTCGCGAATGTATTTAATTCGGGATGCATGTATGTACGTCCGAGGCGAGTTTCTAACTGCCCGCCTTTTACGCGGCAGTTGGAAATTCGCGTTGCAAAATATGAATTATTATTATTAAACTTGGCAAACTCTCGGTCGGTGACCATCAAGTTGCTGTTCAAGGCCACGAGAGAGCCAGAAGTTCTCCAAACAAGTCGCGAGTCAAGATATCCATTACGAGGTAATTTATTTACAGAAGACAATTGAAGTTTGCAACTTCTTCTCTCTATCTTGAAATCCTCTCCCTCTCTCGCAGCATTGAACTGTCCAAGGTCATCTTGAAATGATTTTTATTAAAATTATTTGAAAAAAGAAGGGAAACAGCAACACGGAAAAATTGATTTCAGATCAAGTACCATGCATTGTTACATTCTTTTTCATCATTTGGAAATAACTCGCTTAGTGGTGAACTCTTGAGCGTGTGAAAATTAAAAGAATCTCGGATAGATGAGAGTTGTAGCATGAAGTAACAGACATTCCCTTTGGATTAGGTACGTGTAACAGAGCAGCAAACAACGTCATCATTCTCGAAAAGAAATATTACACAACCTGTCAAAGTTATCGTAAACTCGATTCCTATAAAATGGTACCATCCACCGTACGATTCAGCTCCCTTCTCCCTTTAACTTAAAAATTTAAAACGTGCGCTCACATTCCGACAATTATTCCACGGAAACCGTGTGCTTCCTCCTCTGGTAGTATTCGTTCGTTCGTTCGTTCATTTCGCGTCATTAGTTTCGAAGAATTCGTTTGTCCAGGGGTAAAAATCAGCGAGAGAAATTGCGAGCCACGGCAACCTGTGGCTCGCCTCGCGTCGTTCCTCGCTGCTCGTCGGGTTCTCGGCTAAATAATTAATCGAAAAACCAAGTTTGATCATTGCCCGAGACCTAATTAATTACCGCGCGATGCGAGTTCTCTGCTTCCGGCTGTTTCTCTCGCGTACAATGTGTGTAATTATGCCAGCTGGAACTGTACGTACGTCTGTGTGTGTGTGTGTGTGTGTATGCAGAGGTATAAAATTCCAACTTTCCTCTTGTTACTCGGCCAACGCTGTCCCAAAGGATTAATTATCAACGCGAAAATGATCGCCACTGCGTTTGTACGAATTTTTTTTCCCGTTCATCTTGTTTCATTCTTCCTTTTTTCCCCCCCCACCCTGTTCGTACTTTTCATCCCTTGCAGATTTATCGATCATTACACAAAGCGATTTAAATCGACTCGCGTAAATCCATTCGCGAATTTGTTTCGCGTTTTCTCTGGTGAATTATAAATTTCAACTGATCTCTCCCCTCCCTCCCCCCACCCGGATTTTTCCGACTCGCAGATGTTGAGGGATCGTTCGTTCGGTTATTTAATTTTCAACGCGGAAATGACTCTAGAGGGATAATCAAAATATAGACGGGAATGTTATTGCGATTCAGATGATTCGAATTTATTTTTCTTTTTTTTTTCACTCTCGCGGCGAGGTTGTTTTGTTTAATTTCGAATTGTAAATGTTGCAATCATTTCTACTGGCTCGTTCCATTCCACGGAAATTGAGGAGCTGTTTCGTTCGGTGATTCAATTTTTTTTATCGTCGTGATGGTTCGTGAAAGAGTTGTTGACGCGCAACTTTGTCGAAACACGATACTATCGATTAAACGCTAATTGTCTAAAACGCGTTTGTACGAATTTGAATAATAAAAGAGAAGGTGGAGGCATCAGTTTGCAAAAATATTGCTGCACCGTTTTCGCTCGTGCGTGCGTGTTACACGGCAACGGGGGTTTTTAACAGTTTTCAGTACGTTCGCGGATATCGGTAACGAGAAAATACGTTCTCTCTCCTATAGGGATTATTTAAATTCAGTTTCGCCGGATTGAAAGCAAATTCGAATTTATATTTAATTACTCTGCACGGGATAAGTTTACGTAAATCCATTAGCCAATAGGAAATTTGTGCTTTAATGTTTGAAAAACTCGTGAAACGCACATGATACACGATATATTGAGAGCTTGCGAATTTCTCACGTAAATATAATTGACGGTATTTGTCAGGTTCGATTTTTAAAGTTCTTGTCAGAGTGTTTTTTGGCGAAACGCTCAAAAATTTTTCGGACTTCTACTTTGTTTCTGCAATACGAATTTGTTCAATATTGTTGGGGGTTTGCGTTTGCACGTGGCGGAGAATGATTGTTCACTCAATGAAAAGTTTGCAATGTGCTTTTAATTAGAATATCAACATAACATTAAAGGAAAAAACAATTTATGTTGTACCGTAACACAAGATAATAAGTTTTTAAATTGCCTCCGGTTTGGTTTCACTTTTTACTCCTTTTTTTACCGAATCGCATGCTTCGATCTTTTTTACACTCCGTCTCGCTCATCATTCATACCAACTGATCAAAAACAATTATAACATTGCCTGACAATCAATAATCTGAGATTTTCGTTCTGAAGAGTGTGACGTTTGGCGTTCTCTGCATGTTCGATTACCATTACGTCGGTAGCGTTAACTTCCCTCCCCAGTTTCGAACCAAATCCATCAAATCCAGTTCTCTCTCCAAAGATCGAGATTTATGTACATTGACGCAGAGATGTACGAGTCGCGCGTGCACGCGCGACTCGCGTCAACAGCCGGCAGGAGTTCGCCGAAACGAGGGCACACAACGCGACACGACAAATCTGATCGGGTGTATCAGCGAGTATCGCGCCGCTCGGAGGCTACAAAGCGAATCGAATGGGATCGACGCGGGGGTGGTGCGCGCGGCCGCGTTTGCGGCCAGAGTGAAATTCGCAGGATCAAAGGCGGTTTCGCGTGCCTCGAGGGAGGACTCGATTCGCGGCTATAACGTCATTTGCCAAACAATCGGTGTCGCGCGGATCCGTTTGCGCGCGAGAGGCCGCGAGGATGCGCGAACGCGCGCCGGAAACGAGCACAACGATCACCGAGCGGAGCGGAGCGAGCAGCGCGCGCGACGAGCCACGACGAGAGTGGTCTCGTTAGAACCGCAATTGGTAAACGAGTTAAAAACCCTCCCGGTTCCACTCCCCCTCATTTTCACTCGCGAGCAACGAAATTACGCGGCCGGTGTACTCTGCGGCTTTTGCCGCTAGACGATTCAATTTGTGCATTAGCCACCGCCGGCGTACAATGCCACCGTTCCGTATAAATAAACCGGAACAAAAAGAAATGAAAGCGCCACGGCCTCGCGTAACGCGCGCCGTCTTCAGAGAGGGGTTGCCAACGCATTCGGATTGGGTACGCGTAGGATGAGGGACGCTCGGTTTAGCTGTTTCGCTGTTCCCGTTTGTCACCCCCCCCCCCATTTCTCTCTTTTCCCTGCTCTACTCTCTTTCTCTCTCGCGCGCGAAATTATTCCTTGCTCTTTTCATCTCTCTCTCTCTCTCTCGTTCTCCGGTCGGTCTCTCTCTTTTAAATTTACAATTTTTACGTTCGTAAATATGTTAATAACGGAGGCTTCTCAATCCTCTGCGCGTTTGTTTTCTTTTTTTTTTTTCTTTTTTTCAAATTTCTTCGTTCAGGTGAAACTATTTTCTATTCTCTGCCCTTTGAATTAATTGAATTCAATTTTCGAGCGTGCAAGAATCAACCGTTTAGCTGATTCCGTTGGTTCCTTTGAATGAAAAGTTGTCGGCAAAGTGAAAAATGCTTTGAAGTGTCTTTTTTTCACTCTCTCTCTCTCTTTCCTCGTGTAAAAAAATTGAAGTTGGGACGTTTATTTTTCGTTTTTAAGTACCCGACGTGTGTTTCCTTTATGTCCGTAAAGTGCGCGCAGAAAGCAATTCAATGCTGTGCTTTTCCTTGTTATATTTTTTTGGAATTTTAGGAGAACGTATTTTGTCGTAAATTTTTGAGGAAGCCTATGACAGATTGTTTACGAGATGGGAATACACGAGAGTGCTATATTTCCCAGAGTGCTATATTTTTATCGAATTTTTCGATACTGGGTTCTTTACGTGATCAGGATCAAAATTTCTAGTGAAATATATCAGAGAGAAGTAAAATTGTTCGATGTAAATTATCAGGTTCGTAATGAGGAATCTTCGCGAATTGTAATTATTTGTCCAACGAAACGTT